GCTCTCAGACACACATTAGCATCCCACAAGGTCAACACATGACAATGGTCTATGATATAACTGAAGGGCAGCTAGCTTTACCATTCATCACTGTGGTGATGATAACAATGACTGGTGGAGAGGTCGCCTGTACATACGCGTGAAAATAATGTACGAGTTAAGTCCGACTGTAAATAGCTCCAACGGCTGAATAGCTTTAATATGAATTAGCCACACACCAAGTTAAAGATAATCCTTTAATGACGCTAGCTGTTAGCAAGGATCAAAGAGTGAATTATATAGTCTTCAGTTCAGTACAAACTGTACAGTGATGCTAACTGCTAACAGTAAACAACATGATATAATCTGCAGCTTGTCATACATTATAACCCAGTCACTGCACTGCTACCTAAATAAAGTCTGTACAGTTTACCGCTATTTCCAGATTATAAGCCGCTACTTTTTTCACATGTTTATATCTTTGTGTGTAAATATCCCATGTTATAACGTGGACACCTGTGGCTTATAGTAAAGTGCGGCCTATATATGTACAATTATTCTTTTTCTTTTTAAATTTAGTGGGTGCGACCTATATTGTGGTGTTCTCAATATTCCAGAAATTAGGGTATTATTATTATGTTGATGTTTTTTTATAAGCAGTAATAAACCAAAAATGTAAATAGTGAGGATTTAAATAATACAAGTTTTAAATCTGTTCCTCGTGTTAGCTCCACTGTCCACTATGAATACTGAAGGTGTTTATCTGCTGTTATAGAAATAAGAAATGTGCTTTTTAGTATTTCCTGTGGCAAAAAACTTTATTTAACTATAAATGTCACCTAACACATATCTCTGATGTACTTTGTGTTTTTTCAGACATTCTCTGTACAGATACCACATATAACACGATGTCCATCAGAGTCCTGTGACATTTTAGCTGTAATTCTATTTATTTGCAGCAGATGTTCCATTTTAGTGCACCTGCTAATGTGTGTCACTAATCTACCTGTCAGGTCACAGAGAGCACGGCTCAAATGTGTGTGTGTGTGTGGGGGGGGGGGGGAGGGGGGGAGTGGACTTGTTTTTACAATTAAATTGTTCACGCTGTTTCCTACTTTAACCATCACACGGCTAAAAGGAGGAGAAGAGAGGAGAAGAGAGGAAAAGGAAAGAAGAAGAGAAGAGAGGAGAGGGGGTGAAGACAGCAGGAGAAGTTTTTGGAGGGAGACATATCAAGGACAGCACAGCTGAGACAGAAACAGGACCGACTGAGTCTCAGCAGACATTACAGCTCTGTCTCTCTGTCAGCACGAGTGGAGGCCCTAATGGCAATCACTGGTAGTTGGACCCATCAGCCCTGATTCATTCGCCTAGCAACAAAGACCAAGCTCTAAGTGACGCTGTCACAGTTGTCATGGAAACGGGGTACACGTAAGAAGTTTTTGAGCTCCACACTTTTCTCTCTTTTTTTCTTCTTTTGTAATTTTAAGAGGGACTATGTTTTCTACTGGCAGGGAGAAGGCAGTTATCAATGTCCCCTTGACAGAGACTTAACCTTCCTTCAAGTGGTCTATGAAGAGAGGAAGTGTATTAAGAACGGAGAGGTGAGGACATGTGGCGCTGAGAGAGTGAAAGTGTTTTAGTTTGCCCTCAAAGACAATCCAAAACAATGACAAGAGAATAAAAAAGATCAGGAGGAGAACCAAGTGGACAGGCTGGAGACGAGTGTCAAAAGTGACTGTCACTGAAGGACGTCTGCAACAGTCACAGGACAAATTCACAAGAAAACATTTGAACCTGTTGTGATGTGCAGTTAGTCAGTGCACACCGCTCTAATCAGCACATTAATGAGACTAGTTAGACTGGGCTTCCTGGCAATGATGTGAATGAGTGTGATGTAACTAATGGTACGTGCTGACAGACTATAGGTCGTCATGTTCTGATGTCACCTATAAGGTGTCCAGTCCATTTTAGTTCTATCATCTATTTTTCTTTTACTTTACTTTAAATAGAATTGTGGTTTACAGAATGGACATCAAATTCTATTGTTGACAGAAATTCACGGCCCTTCTCAGAGAAAGCTGTATTTAAACTGGTTCACTCATGAAACATTTATACAAACATAATCCTCGTACACAGACACACATTCGTAAATACATCTATACCTGGGCACTTGATATTGGACACTTATGGGTGTAACTAATTACAACTGTCCCGATTTGAGCAGAAAAGTTGTCCTTTGATTTTAGCCAATATTAGCATATTAAATGGAAAGATGATATTGTCATTTACTTAAATATTGTATTTAATATCAATTACTAGTTATTTACACAAACAGACCAGAACACACATACTTACATGAGTGCCAGGCCCAGGTAGTTGGCAGTGCTGCCCCAGTACATTGGGTTTTCTATGACATTAAATGGGAAACCCGTCACCTTCTCCTCCATCAGGATGCCAAAGTAATCACCTGGAACAGTTTGGAAAAGAGGGAGGAAGTTTTACTGCTTCAGCACACACAGGGTTAAAAGCCTGGATCATCTCTGATGGGAAAACTGCTCCAGAAGGGTCTCCTGGCTGCAGCTCTTCAACAGCTTCAGGTGGACAGGGGATTTAGAGCCAAACTCTGTGAGCTGTTACCATGCTGTTGCTATGGTAACATGTTTGACATTGATCATTCGGTCTGGGTTTGAACTAACATCAAACACTTCTCCAATTTCTCTGTCACCGTACAGCCACATTCGACGCACTTGTGCCAAAGCAGCAGCAGAGTCATAGCCTGTGTGTGTGTGTGTGTGTGTGTGTGTGTGTGTGTGTAGGAACATGACTTTGGCAGCACACGGCTTTGTTAACGGTGCACCTTTGTCACTTTTCTGTCAAAAATAAAGCCAGGTCTAAAAGTCCAAATGTTACAGCAAGTTAGATGACAACATCATAAATGACCTTTGACCCTCATGGTCATCATTCAAATAAGTCTTTTTATTTGTTGATGTTCATTTAAAGTCACCTCAGGCATTCATCAAGACGTTGTGACATGACCACAAACAGCGTAAATTAAGAAATTGCTGTTGTATGATGGGTTTTTTTGTTTCTGTTAAATTCCCATCATGCTTAGCATCTGAAAATCTCTGATGACTCCCACAGCATTGGACCTTTGTTTTCCCGTAGGTTCAAATCTCCTTCTTCTTCTCTGCTGTCATTCTTGCCACCTCAAGAAAATAAACATATTTCTGGGTGCCTTGCGAGTTAAGTATCAGGGTTAAGGAATTTAGTGATTGAACCACTGACCATACTGTAGTGACCAGGTGACCAGGTGACCAGGTGACCAGGTGACCAGCCTCTCTACCTCCTGGTCCACAGCCAGCTGTTAACAAATGCATTTCTGACACTTTCTCATCCCTGTGTGCCAACGGGGGCATGATGAACTAGGACAGTGCTCACCGTAACCTGAGCACTTACTATGACTTGCTATGTAATAAGGTACTACACACACACACACACCAACCAACTGAATGACCCATTTTACTCCACAAAGTACATGACCATTCAGATGTTCCTTTGTGTCTCCCCTGTCAGCCCCCACACACGTTTGCATGAACAGGCTAAGGTGGGAGAACCTGTGTGTGGTCGCCGAGGCCCTATTGACTTCCAAAGACGGGCTGTTAAGTCCAGGTTATATAACTGTTTCATTATGTGTGCCCAGTTAACCAGCAAACACTCCAGGTAAAGCAGGATTAGGACATTATATAAACAAATGGTTTGAATAGAAAACCTGCTGTAACCGGTTTTTACAACAAAACCACTAACCCTGTTTATGATCTGGACCAGCGGCTCATTCTGATTCTTAAAGCCAGACATAATGGTTTGTTTTGTTTTGTTCCTGCATCACTGTGGTTAGGAGGAAGAAGGTCAAGTTGGGATGACAGCAGCGTAGCTGCACCCAGGACCCACCAGCAGGGGGACAACACTGCACTGAGAAAATGGCTGAATTCATTAGTTTGTACCTTTGTTTCTGACTCATCAGTTTGAATCACAGGGTCACTGTGGCCCAAAAGGATTCATGTGAAACAAATAAGGCACACACACACACACACACACACACACACACACACAGGGCCTCATTAATCAGTATGTTTGTCTACAGGTTTGGTATTTTAAGCACCAGAGAGTGAACACAGACCAAGGTCCAAGGATTTTATGAATTTCTAAATAATTCCTCCTTCCTGCAGTCACTGTTCTTTGGCTGACATCAAACTGTTTTATTATCTTTAATTTTTGTCAATTTGCTAACTCTTAGTTTTAAAATGACACTATATACATTGATGATTTAATACATTTAATTTTGGACATTTCTTTTTTTGACAACTTTGAATGTCTCCTTTGCTTTAGTATCTTCCAAAAACCTTTAACAATCTTGTTGGCTATTTTAAACAGCTGTTACTGTGTTCTTAGTTGTCTTTTTTTCTTTTTTAGGTATTTTTTTGAACTCTTCACTCCCACATTTTTGCTAACCCTTTTGTTTATTTATAAAATGTACACATTAAACTAGCCAATTTTTGGCTAGGGTTGTTATCTTGTTTGCTACTTAATCAATTTTCTTTCTTATCTGCATTCTCTGCTGACTTCTTGATTGTTCTAAAACCTAAGACTCTGCTGTTGGTTTTATTAGCATTTGTGCCAGATTTCCTTTCCTGAGCTCCAACCAAGAGAAACAAGTGAATAATCCTCCACAGACCACATGGTCCACCAGAACATGGGCCTGTTCCCCCGGTTCACATCCACAGCGTCCTGTCTACTCTGGGATGAACTTGCATATAAAGAAGACACACATTGACAACACCTTCTGTCATCGTCCATCACCTTCTGCTGCTCCAGCTGCCTCCCCTCTGCTCAGTGCATTTGTTGAGTGGATAAAACCCTGTGTGTTTTTGTGAGGAGACGGCGCTCAGACACAAAACTGGCATTTTCAGCTGAGTCACCAAAACGACCCAGAAACTAAATACTCACGTGCCAAAGTGTGCATTAGGTGCCATCATATAAGTGTTCATCTGCTGCAGTGAGAAATAAATATCTGTGTTTGCACCAAAGCTGTGTGAGCATCACAGAGCCGTGAAAATGTGACTGTCCCTCCACATGCTTGGCTGTGATGGTCGATTTACAGTTTCTCATCCCAGACGGGTTCATGTGCAACTGAATCACATGTCGGTTCAGAAACCAGCATTTGTCTTGACTGTTTGGTGATCATCAAAGTATATAAACATCCTCCTAAAGAACCGGCAAAATGATGTCACAAAACTGATCAGAGCTGAATTATTTAAAAATATATATATATATTCATCATTGTCCATTTGTGAAATAGGAACTGTGTGCTTTGCTGTTTGGCTGTTAGCAGGCAGGCTAAAATAAGACAGAATTATGTCTGAAAACTAGAGAAAGGTTTGGTTTCTTTCTGTAATTCCTGCGAATGAATCAGGGTGGAGTACAACTGAACAGGCGAGAGTTCAATACTGAGTAATCTAATTATGAGTTCATTAAAACTCTTTTTTTTGTCATCTATTATCTTGTAGAAAGGTTGGGAAGCAATGCTTCAAAAAACAAACAACCATGACAACAATGACTCCAAAGCTGTATGGCAATTGGGACAACATTATACTAAGTGTGCTGCCATTTTTAACACATCATATTGTCTTTGGATAAGTTTACTAGTAAATATCTTCCAACTTAGAGAATAAAATTTGACATATAATTTACAGATTTTTTGGTAACATTAATTTTAAATATGTAGTTAGATTTAATTTACTCACCTAAGAAGGTTCCAGTGAATCCCAGAGCGAGGAAGCTGCTGACTACAAACAGAATTCCTGACGCAATGAGCAGAACACCTGCGTAGAACACCTCCACCCTGTCCATCACCTCCCACCTGGCCTGGGCCTTCATCGCCACTGTTATACTGCAGGATGGATGAAAATCCAAATGTTAAAAGGAAAAAGGAAAAAGTAAGGTAAGTGGAAAAATAAAAGAGAAAAGAACAGAGAATTCCAACAGCACAAGGTGTTATGGGAGCACAGAGACCATGTTGAGATGGTTGAAAGGTTGCAGGTGAGAACACGAGTGAGAAATACTTTATTGACCCTGCAGGAACAGTTTCTTGTGACAGCAATTCCTGCAAAATTACTTACATGAAGGCATGGAATACCTCTGAGGTTTCTCTGGAGAATATTCTGGATCATACTGTCACTGCTTTGGATTACTGTGATTACAAAGACATTTAGCTAACTCTACATTTTAAGCATATTTAAAAACTCTTCTTCAGGTACATTAATACGTATCAAAAGCATTGTCACTGATCACAATCATCAATTCTGATAGAAAGATTTAAAAACTAAATAACAAAAGTAAAATAATATATTATATAATATAATATTGACCATTGAATGCAAGAATGGATCAAAGAAACAAAGGGTTGATTAAATAAAAAACTAGGTTAAGGGGTTAGTGCCATGACGAACATGGCAGGAATGATTCTGTGCCGCCCCATGTCAGACAAAGAGCAGCCGCTGAGCCAGGTGATTGCTAGACTGTGCAGACTGCTGAGATCTGGATTGGGAAACCAGTGGAAACAGAAGTGTAAGATGATGAAAACAAGGAGAGGTTGTCCATCTGTGACCACTGGATGTACGTGTCACTGCAGTTACATTGATGCAGTATATATTAAAATGAAATCCTCTCCCAGTCTGCAACAACAGCACACTCCGTCCATTAATATTTCACAATCTATATCATTTTTAATTAGAAAAAGAAGTTTGTTAATTGAGATCAGTGTTTTCTGAGCAGCGCCACATATTTAATATTACAAAAATCTGTACCACTAAACACTAAATGTATATGTACCTACTGCCGCCTACTGGAGTATTAAATAAGTAAATAAATAATTGGTTTAAGACCAATTAAATAAATTCTCTATTGCATGCAACACCTGACCAACATCTGACCAACATCTGACCAACACCTGACCAACA